GATGTTATAACCGGAAAAAACCACTGCCGTGATAAACAACACCCTAGACCCGTTTCTATATAACTGGTATAGTAAAGTGATTCTACATTATTTTATCGCTCTACAGTTTACATCGAACAATAAAATTTACTGCAAAGATAAAAAAATTTCCCAACACGTAGTATTCATGTGTTGCGATTTCATACAAATTACACATACTTAATTATAGACCACAAAAAACCAAACATTTGATCATGTAGAGTCTATTTGGTGTCATTTAGTTTTTGGTACCTATAATAATATTTTTTTTTGCTACAACATTTTATATCGTTTATCCGTTATTGTTTTCGTTATGTTATTTGAATCTTTTCGTTTATCGTTTTTTTGATATGTTTAACGTTTTTATATTTTTCGTTTATCAAAACGTTTTGGTTATTGTTTTATTTTTAGAATAAGCGTTTAATGTTGTTCGTTATGTTTTTGGTTATCCATTTCAATCGTTTTTTGACAAGTTTAACGTTATAAAAACGTTTTCGAGCCCTGTGTAAATGGCTATATTACTACCATTTATCCTCAAACTAAATTTATGTTTTTACAATAATTATTTTATAAAAGCTATAATATTATTACATATTAATAATGTTTTTTTCCTAAATGGATATTGCTACATACAGATCTTATTAGTGTTTAATCAGCAGTTTTATGTATTCTATTATTTCACAGCGTCTGTTACAATGTAAACAAACGACAAAAGTATTTTAGTATCATAAAGTTTCAACATTATTATAGTTCTTTTACGAAAACATGTTTTTTTTGTAAATAAATGGCTAATACCTACCTCATACAATCTTTTAAGTTAACATTTAAAAAACTCAGATTTTACTAATATATGTATTTTTATGTTTTTATTATTGGTCAAAAACGTTGACAATACATTTATTATATAATATAGGTGATCAACTTATTGTGAACCAATTGTGAATAATTAACTTACACAATAATAAACTTATTGTAAATAACTATCTCACTGGGTTTAATTAATAATTTAATTTAATTTTCCATACAGTTTTTACACAATGTTATCTCAACTTCTTCCATTTTTTGTTTTGGTTTTTACCCCCTCCAAATTTAAATTTGTTGATAGCAACTTTTGAAACTAAAATAGTAACGCATACATTTCACTATCTTTTTTTTTGAGAATTCTGTATTAAAAAAATTAACTGGTCGATATAGAGTTTTGAATAAATATTGTTAAAGTTATAAGAGTTTAAAAGTTAGGATAAGAGGGGAAGTGCGGTTGGGAAATGCACACAGATAAAAATAATACTACACTCCACCCTTTCTCCTGCCAGTCAAAATTTGTATTGCATTATTCTCAATTTAAAAAGTTAATGAAATATATGCGCCACCATTTAAGTTTCAAAAGTTGCTATCAAAAAAACTAAGTTGGGAGGGTTTTTAAAAAAATATAAATAAATAAAAAATTGAGATCCCATTGCATGAAAACACTATTAAAAAAAAAAATCTTATTTAACCCAGTGAGATATTGAGTGGTTAACGATAAGTTGATAACCTTGTATTATCACATAACATAATTATATTAATAACGTTAGTTCATAAAAACACATGCAGAACCCTTATATGTTTAATCATTAACATAATATGCTATCAACTTGCGGTATAATTTTAAAAACAAGTTTCAGATCCAAAGCCCGAAATCTAGGTCCAAAATTGAGTACTTTCGCTCCTCATAGGAAAGTGGTTTATGATATTTTGGTGGAATTTACGAAACATGTGCAAATGATAAAAAAAAATATTCTACAAAAGTTTAAAGATATTTCGACTATATTACAAAAAGTTATAGCGTTTAAATGTTTAGCCCTATTAATATTAAGTTAATTGTATCTTTCATAAGCAACTTGTCTAAAATTAAACTTGCTAAAATTAGCATAACTCACAAAAAGTCATGACAGATTTTTACCTAAAATTACAAAAATAGAAATGTAAGGGCCGAAGGCAGACATTTATAGGCCACTTTACCCGGTTACCAATGGCTATTTACCGATTAGTCTGTGTTGTGTTATGATGTAGATAGCTCTACTGGAGGTGTAAGGGTTCAACTGATTAAAATCAGAGAGCTATGATTTGCGAAAATGTGTAGGTTGAGTACATATGTGGATGTGTAGAGAAACTTATAAACTAAAACAAATTGCCGACTCAATTAAATAATTAAAAATAATAATATTTTCAACAATAATTTGAAAATTATCTCGGTTATCGTTTGCACGAATTGTTTTGTAAGTTAAAAATTGTGTACATAGCCCTCCGCTGAGATTCCGCCTTTACTATTACTCATACTACTATAATATTAAGTAAATATAATATTATACTCTACTTGGTATTAAGCTTCAGAATATTGTAAATATGTTATTCATAACGAAAAATGACAAATTTTGCTTGTGTTAACAAATTTGCATAAACAATTCTGCAAAATAAAACTAGATTTTTATTGTTTCGGTCGGCAATATATAAGCTATTCGATCAGTCGTAAAAAAACCATTACAGCAGCCAGTATAACTATCATTGCACTTATTTGGTAAGTAATATACGAAATTGTTTTCTTATATTTACTGGTTTTATATATTTCCTAAGTATAGAATGTATTAAATGTATACGAAATAACACTTTTTAATATAATATGTACAATAAGTAAAATGGCTTGTTTTTTTTTTTACAAAGCTGGACGACTTGAGTGAAGGGGGCGACCAGTGACACTACTTTAGGTGTAAAAAATCACTTAGACTATTTAAATAATATTTTTAAAAATTATTTGAATACATTTTTAAACGAAGAACTTTTATTTAAATAATTTGTTATCTAGATGATTATTCAGATATATTTTAATAAAATTCTGGTTATAACTACGCATAGCATAGTACTATAGTAGGTACTGCAGGCGTTTATTTGAAAGTGATTTTATCCTAGTAAGTCAGTACAGTGAGGTCGAGGCATAATAGGATCAGAGCAGTAGGGACGGAGAGGTTACAGGTCACAGAAAAACAAAATGTATTTTTAAGTAGCAGATTTTGTTGTTATTGTACAGTAAAAATTTCAGTTCCCTAGATCTAACTTGAAAAATTGTTATTTAATCGCGGTTTTTAGATTTCAGACCACTGTGGTCTGTACGTATGTGTTAGCGAGTTAATGAAAAGCTAGTTAAAAGTTAATGAATTGTATATTTTAAAAGTTGTTATCAAAAAATATAACTATTTTATATAATAAGCTAGTGAATAATTCTAATGAATTGTCATAGTGTAAACATTTCTAATTTTTAAGTGTTATTACATTTATTTGATTTTATAGAAAATGGTTAACGATACTATATTCTTAGGCTACCAGAATGAATACATATAACGTGTTTAATGTAAGCAAACAAAATCTGCCTTGACATAATTAAGAGACCTCTACATCTGTGTAGTTTCCATCTAAAACAACTCTATTTAATTCAACCATATTCTGAAACGCGCGAAACGACAGTAAATTTTAAAGCTAGTAAACATACTTTGTCAATAATTGTTATTAAATATTTTCTGTAATCGTATCTCGTGGTTAAGTATTCTTTGAATCGATGTAAGACACCATGATTTTTTATCTGCATGGCTATAGCAGCAGAAGTTTAAACTTCACACCTGACTAATGTAAATAAGTAAACACAATGAAAAAAAAATAATCCTGCTTAAAGTTAAAGAATTTACATAGGGAAATCTGCAATAAATATTTAGATTTTATTTTAAGTATAAACGATCTAAACGCTTTAATGCCAATTTTTATCGTAGTCATTATTTACAAAAACAAAAAAAAAATTGTTCGTAGCTTCTTGCTGCTTTGTTTATGTTAAATGTTTCCATCTATACCACGTATATTGTAAATGGACATCTACATATTATAATATTATTTATTACTATATGTTGCTGGCCTAATACAAGTGATGTATAAAGTTATGAGATTTTATTGTACTTAGAATCTATGTGAATTGTTTTTTTAGTAGTTTAGTGTAGGACTTTAAGCACTTGTTTAGCTGTATACCATAGTATACTTATACCTATGATACTATTTGAGCTCCTCCTCCATACGTAGAAACTCTAATATTATGTTTACATACTGAACACAAAAAAACCATGTATTTTTAAAACAAGTGTTTTCCACTAGCTGAATCATAGCACCAGAAATTGTTAGATACTACTCATATTATTATTATTTAAGTACTTAAAAAATAGTTATCCAAAACTTGTTATCGGCCAGTCATTTTTAGTACAATATTATAAATTTAAAAACTTTTTTAGAAACGTGCTTTTCTAAAAATAGTAAAATGTGAACTAAAAAAAAAAAAAATTACTACAAGAACAATTTACCAGTCAATTGTAGCACATTTTATCTAAGATTTCAGTTACTTTGAAAACAACCGAAAATTAACTTCAATTTTAAATAATGTTAAACATATTTACTTTTTGACTAAAAAGAAAAGCATGGACCCTATCAACTAAGTCCCTAATAATTTTATCAGTTAACATTTTACTTAATGTTTTATATTGTAAGTTTTTTTGTAATTTAAATTTGATTTAATATTAGTGTGTGTCACATACATTTCATAATACTTTACTCATTGCATATTATAAATTTATCTATATTTATATTTTATTGTAAGTATACCTTCGTCTAATATAACATATTTTAATTTGTATTATTATTTGCAGACAAAAATGAAAGTAATCTATGTGTTAATGTACTGTGTTTTTTTAAACGTTTTGACAAATGCGGGTATGTAATTCGTTTTTACAAGTATCTACTTAAGGTATTTAGTTTAGATTTAAAAAAAATTAAACAATATTCAATATTCAACTTTTTTACAGATATAGCAGAAAAAAGAAAGATGCTTCATACTACAAGTCAGTACATTTTTTGTTTACAAAATATTATTTTAAGTTTTACGACTTACAGTTTTTATATATAATTTATTACAGACATACTCATCGAAATACATATTGGAAAAGGTAAGACATACTTAAAATGATTAATACTATGAATTGAATGGTTTTTTTTGTACTTGCCATTTGCCTGACTGTAAGGTAATTTATATTTATGAACTATAATCATATAAAAATGTTTTCATTTATTGGCCTTTGTGTGTATTGTATTTATAAAAATGGGGGTTTTCCGAAGATCTCTAGGAATTCTCAACAGTGGTGAAGTCGAGGTTTGATGAGGATAGTAAGCTTAAATAATGTAACATGTATTGAGAATATTTCTCAAAAGAGTCTCCCACTCGAAATATATGGTTACATTATAATAATTCAGTTTGTACAATATTATTGATAATCTAGAATAGATATTATAGAATAATTGTGTCATAAAATTCCAACATGGTTGAACACTTAAAGGATGGACATTGGACACTGATCAAAATTGACACGTTAAAGATACTTATCACACAAAAACGAGTCGGCCATCTTCCAAATATGCTATCACCAAGTAAATTATATATAACTATACATTATTATTTTTAGTTGTATATAGATATAATTTATTATGATTATAGCATATTTGGAACATGGCCGTCATTTTTTGTTTACATTGTTAAGTGACTCTTCTGCTTTAATCTATTCTGTGGTTAAATGGGCCACGTTAAACTCAAAATGTACTTCTGTTCAGAACATTTTTATACATATTATGTCGAATTAAAATTTCGAAATTTGATTTTTTTAATTTAATTAATTTATTTATTTCAGGGACCATTTGGAATATAATAAAACATTTTGCTTGTATTATTGATTTCTCAATGGGTAACTATTATTACACAACAAAATCGATTAAGTATGCTAGTAGAAGACATTTTTTGGAAATTATACAATAATTGCAAAAACAATTTATCGATGCAACTTTACGAGTGATATAAATATTAAATTTAAATCACTCAATATTTATTTGTAAATGTAACTTCATTATTATTATTAAACATGTAATTCTACCTTGACTTCCTCCTTTAAATTTATAATTGAACGTGAAATTAAGTCTAATATCATTTAAAAATACATTTTTATCAATTTTAATTTCAGATCAATTGACTTTTATGTTTGCAATACCTGGTAATAATTGAAAATATTTCAATATAGTTGTTGGTTATTCACAAGAATAAAACGATTCGTTTTAATTTCAGAAAAAAATTTTGATAACGACGGTGCTAAACGTAATTCATTTTTCATATTAGTAATATATTACACACGGTTTTTACACGAGTGTTTAAATTATGAGAAAAATCATATGCATATTAATTTTGCCATCAAAATAGACATATATAAAAATGCATTTTGTTTTTAATTTTAGAGCGTATGTTGGAGTTTGGTCTGCAACTAAAATTACTCGAAGACTCAGGTAATTATAAAATTCAACATATTTTTACAAACACTTTAAAAAACTTATAGTTAAATTTTAATTGTACTTAAAAACATTCAGTTTGAAATCATAGTCATAAACTAAATATTTTCAGCTTAGTGTTAATGATCATTTGATATCATTCTATTCATTTCGTTTACTCAAAACAGCTACTTGAAAATTATTTCAAGTGTTCTAAATTGAATGGATTGTTTATGGAAGGGGTTTAATCCAAAACTACTTTACCAATATATATATTATATATTTATGAGTCTTAACCGTATATAGCCACAGAAAATATTTATAAAAAATATCTAGTTATTTTTTCCGCTCAACGGAAATACATTGAATCGCGGAAATGCTTTAGCATTACGGGTCCGTATAACCATAACGATTGTTTTATTATGAGGTACAACTAATATCACCATACCTCTATCTTTATGATGATGACGCGAAATCGTAACACGATTTTTCCACGCAGATTTCGGAATGACCTATGACATAATAATATGTCATATTAATTAATGTTTCTATTACAGACCTTACTGAAGATGATGTAGCAGCTCAAGGTAATTACTAGGGGTTACGGTTTTAAACGGGTACCCGTGTTTGCTACCCGGGTATTAAGAAATTAAAAACCCGGGTACCCGGGTAATTAAAAAACCGGGTACCTGGGTAATTAAAAATACCTTACTGAAGATGATTTAGCAGCTCTAGGTAATTACGCATTATCCGACAGTTGTAAATAGCGCTTAAAATCTAGATGGTCATTCGAAATTTATTTTAAGTCAATCCAGGTTTCCGTAACGTAATGAGAATAAACTGTTAGAATGAAAACGTTCATTTTACAAGCTTATAATAAACTAAACATAACATTATACAAATATTTGTTCGACCACCTTACGTTCATTTATACGCTATATATTTTAACGTTCAAAAACCTTTACCTCCAACCGAACACAAAAAATTGTACTTTCATTGAACTTTTAAACTTAGAACGTTACACGTTTTAACATCAAATCCCGTTACCCTATTTACACAAATTTAATAAACAAATCATTTTTATACGTTCAGTTCAGTTAAACGATTTTTGAAGTTAAAACGTATGACCGTCATAGGTCTTCAAAATCCCTAAAGAAGAAGAATAAAAACTAATATCAGCTAGTTTAATGGCTTGTATTCACTAGTCGAAATTTGTGTGTGATATTTATTTCTATTGACACTTTAACTGTCAGTGAAAAATCATGCAAGTAATTGTAGTTGCCGTGTATCTTCTTACTATAATAAAATATCGCACAAAGTATTAATTAAACTGCTACTCATTAAAGTTTCTACTTTTTCTTCATTTTGGTCACTGTAACCAGCTAGATTTTTGTTTTATTTAAATAACACACTAGTCGAATAAAATATTATTTGGTTAAAAAATAATAGATTTTTCGAATAACCATTTTTTAAATAGACACCATGTAAACGTATAATTCCAATAAAAACATATTTTAACGATTTGTGTAATTGTTTAACTTGTGTTTTTAAAATAATGTAGTTTGTAATTTTGAAATTTCACCGTGTTTACTGAAGTTACAGAGTTATTTATACTTTGTTTAACACATTTATTGAATTTATCAGCTCGTAGTGATAAATCTATACAAGATCTTGGAGATGCACGAAGAAAAATGTTAGACCCAGTTTTAGCATTGTTAATAATCAATATTATGAGCAGTAAGTAATAAACTAATAAAAAAACTAGTTGTGTCACGGAAAATTGCATAGTCGGACCAACAAACATTACAGTTAACACTTTAAAGTTAAAATAACAACATAAATAAATCGTCCAACTAATTTTCTAATGAATGAAACTACAAGTTAGTTCAAAAAGTTATTTAATACTTATTCCACCGTTACAGTTTTTTATTAGGTTAATTATCCGTACCTTAGAGCAAAAGTGTATTTAGTAAAAAATTTCTATATTCCGGGTTTTTGATTCACCTAAATTTAAATTGCAAACTCTATTTACTGTTTTATATGACGTATGGACTCTTAGATGAGTTTATCTAAGTTCATTTATTTTATTTAATTAGTGAGTTACTTATTCATTAGAGGTTTAGAGGTGGACGTTAAAGAAAAAAACGAGTGCCAAGGATGTAAGTGAAAATAATAGAGGAAATGCATGATACAAGAGTAAAGAGTGTGTGTGTGTGGAGAAATGGAATATTTTAGTCAAAAGATATACAGCGGGAGGTGCCTTTGTGTATGATGTTTACGGAGGACGTTGTGGGAAAGTCCGAAACAATTGGCTGAGAGACTTGAAAAGTGAAGAGAAGCGATTGAAGACAAAGGACTAAGGATTAGCCGGAGTAAAACGGTGACAATCTTGTTTAATTTTGGAGAATGTTATAGGGTAAAACAGGTAATGCAGTTGGATGATGATGAAGTGTGTGAATTTGTAGGTTTAGGAAAAAAAAAGTTTGTTATTATTAATTTATTAATAAATAATTTAATTTTTCTCTCTCCTGTAAAATTAACATTTTGTGACCCAATACACTTTTTCTCTTGAGTGATGATATAAGATTAGCTTTAATTTTAGTTAGTCCAAATATGTATTATTTTGTCAGTACAGCAAGCTGAATTTGGCTAACTTTTGAAAACTTTTTTTTAGACCCAAGGAGTCACAGAATTGATTTTGAGTACACATGTCGAATCATAGGATTGTTCTGGAGTACAAGAATTCCAGCAAGTTACATAAACACTGCAATTGTTTCAGATGACGAGACTTGTGTCATACGCCATGGAAGGTTAGACAGGAAGTCATTCAAACGCTTTGGGCTTGATATACATTATGTAGACAACGACGACCATAGCGATACAGGAAACAGCATAGTTCGTGATTTAACGATATTATGAGCATAAATATTTTCTATTTTCTCAGGTTTATTTTAATAAATGATACATAAATTATAATGTACATCTGTTATTATATTTAAATTTTTTTTTGCGTGCCTCACTTATATCAAAATTGTTAAATAATTTAACCTTCTGCAAAATAAAACGATTTTACTCGCTATTATAAACTATTTGATTTATTTCAGTCATAATTTGTATTGGCTTAATATACAGGCTTTTTAGGGCCTTTGTCGGGACCACTACTCCTCTCCGTCCACCCCATCTGCCGACATTGCTTCACAATTATTTAATCTTAGTAATTTTAAGTCCTTACATTTTTTTTTTAGTATATCCATTTTGTCACTTCTCGGACCATTTGCTTGTAATAACAAAAAATTAAAAGAAGTGAGAAAAGTAATATCGATGTCTGTGGAATGAGGTACATTTGAGTGTATTGATCAGTTATACGTTAAAACGTTTCATTTGAGTTTTTCCGTTTTGTTTGTTAAATGTTTATTTATTACATATAATATTATTTCCATTGTTTTAAATACACATGAGTCTACTATATGAATTCTCCAAGAAGAAAGTCAACACTTTTTATGAATCAATAATTTAAATAACACACTTTATTCATCACAGTACACATATCAACACCTCTCGTGTAGACCGTCACATAAGGACTAGCTGGGTTACGACCATGAAATGACATGGGTAGAACCGGTGGGTTAGATAGTGTAGCCAACGTTGCTAACACCACATGCCTTGTTCTGGTCCAGTGACGGTCTTGGAGTAGTAGCTCTTCGTTGACAAGGTTAATTTATTTTTTTAATAAATAAAAGAAGTACACTTATGCTTGCTTTATAAATATTAGCTGGTAGGCGACCGGGTAGCTCACAGATAGTAGCTGGTAGTTGGCCGGATAGGTCACAGATTCTGAGTGGTAGATCAGTGTCTAGCTGTTAGTTTAGCTATCTGTCAGGTCAGAAACCATCTACCTATTAATAAAGTGAGTGTCCGGTGCTATTTACTTTACGGGCTTGGAAGCAATGATTTAAAAAAAAATGAAACGTCTAGAGGTTAGTGTCCAGACCTCCGCCGCCTCGGGCGTATGGGTCACAGATTCCGAGTACTGTATGCTAGTACGGTTATTCCGGCACTGCGTTTTAAATTAACGTCGTTATAATTCATAGTACCTTTATCTAATAAATCAGAATTCATATCAAGTTTCGAAAAACTATTTCGCAAGCTAAGTACGGATTAAGTGTAGTGTCAGTCTAGATATCTGTCAGGTCAGAAACGACCTACTAAAAAAGCCAGTTTCTGGTGCTTCTTGCTTGAAGACTAGCGTTACGTATCAGCAGTTCCTATATATATATATATATAAATCGTGGGGATTGTCCACCATACGCGAGTGCCCCACGGGCACTACATGTTACTCGTGTAAATTGCGTTTCACAATAAACGTCACGAACATTATTACTTATATAAATCTAAATGTGTTTATACAATGTAATCTCAATTTTTCACATTTTTTTTTAACTTTTGCAATTTTTAAAACTTGAATTGTAATGTATACATTTTATTAACTTTTTAAATAAAAAATAATGTACTCAACAATTTGACTGGTCGAAATGGTAATTTTTAAAGTTATACGATGAATACAAATTAAGATGGGAAGGGAAGTGCAGTTGAAAAGTGTGCGTGGATAAAAATAATTGTAACTTCAATAACTTCAAAAATAGTTATCATAGTTGTTATCAAAAAACGGTAAGAGAAGGGTAAAAACAATACAAATTATGAAAAATTAATTTCACATTGTATAAACACACTATGAAAAAACAAAAAAAATGTATAAATCATTCATATTTTAAGAAAAATTGTCGTGGCCGTAGACGTTCGGAGTAATTAAACCCTTAGTAATAATTAAAATAACAACACTTGTTTACGTTAGTCACCGTTTATTCTATTACGCTATAGTACTACACGACAATAATAATACTATTGATGCACGGCGGTCCGGTGACGGCCGTATTTATGTTACCGGCGGCGGTCAACATTGCTGATAAGCTGCGCCGGGGTTTTGCTTAATGGGCAATTAGGGAAGCACGGCCCGGCCGGGTATTGTCATCGCGGTCCGGGTAATAGTCCAGACCGCGGTGATGGCAATACCCGACCGTGTCATTCTCCCCCCCAATGGCCCATTAAGCATCCCCAAGGCAGCTTACTCAGACGGCTATTGCTGAACGGGCTCGGGTGACGTCAGCGGCGTGTAGTAAAGGTCCTGGAGGAACTCCACATCCGGCAGGTCGTAGTTCTGGGCCCCGAGGATATCGTCCATGAGATCCAACTGCCCGACGGCTAGTTGGAGCGTGTCGTCGGGGTCCACCTCCATTGCCACCTCCCTCGTTCCCGATTCATCGGCGACATCGAGTGTGAGGTCGATCGTTGCCACTGCCGTGACCGCTGTCGTCGCCGTCGCCGCTGTCGCCGTCGCCGCTGTCGCCGTCGTCGCTGCTGTCGTCGTCGTCGCTGCTGTTGCCGTCATCGCCGCTGTTGCCGCTGTGAACGGAACGCTCTGCGGCTTGCAGTGACGCAGTCGCCGTTCCTCCTCACGTTCCAGCTGCGCATGATACGCATTCCGGGTAACGATTTTTGGAGAGGTACTGGTTCCCGGGGCAGTTAACGGCCTTGTTGTTGAGTGGGGCCTCCGGAAGTAATTATCTTCCGGTGGCGTGGCCACTTTCTTGGGGGGTGGGGCCGAGTGGGTACGGACGGTCTTACCCGTATCGGCTCCCATCCTTCCTCTCGTCCCTACTTGAACCTGGCCAGGCCGTCCCAGCGCTCTCGGCGCCGGTCTTTGGTCTACCTTACCTGGGGCCTCTGCTCTTAGGCGTACTAGGGGGGGCATTCCAGCTGTGCCGGGTGTTGAGCTTGCCCCGCTAGTCCTAAGATCAGCCTTACTATTACCTTTTCTTACCTGTGAGGTCACTTCAGACTTTCCGGGTCGTGACCTCTCCTTTGTCCGGGTGCCCAATAACCATCCTCGATGGTGTAGTTCACGAGCCACCGGATCGTCCCGTATTTCAGAGAGGGTCGCCTTCTTCGCCCACTCCAAGGTTATCACCGGTGGTAGATACGTCTGAGTAGACGTATCGACCACCGGCTTCCTCGGGGGGTTCGGAAGTGACCCCTCCTCGCTCCTTTCGTCAGATCCTCTCATCCGGCGGATGGCCACCTGCAGGCCCGCGATGGCGTCCTTGTGACCCTTTATCCACCCCTCCATCTGGTGGACTACGGATTTGACGGTTGTCGCTGGAGGGCGAAAGCGCTTGCCGCTTCGGCCGCCTTCTTCTCGTACTCGTTTCACTGGGGGTTGCGACATCTGAAATTAGCGTAGGGTAATTGGTCACATAAGCGGGTTTTAGTGCGGAGCAGTGAACTTTTATGACCGGCTTAGTTTCCGTGAAGAAAACACCATTCCCCAAGGAACTTCCCAGTCTCACTGGTCCTATCCACTTAGACGCAAACCCCGCGTGAAATCCCTTTGCTGCGTTTGAGAGTGGGTGACTGCGGTAGTACACCCAATCTCCTATCGAGAACCTGTCTAGGGTTTTCCCTACCTGTTTGTCATTAGGGGTCCCTATCACTACCCTAGCGCGTTTCCTCCTAAGTTCGGCTTCTACGGGTAATTCGATTCTGGATCCTAATAGGATCCAGTCACCCGGCGCTTTGGCTTCCCTTCCTAGAACTAGCTGAGAGGGGGTATAGCCAGTTTTCGAGTTTTTTCGATTCCGTATCGCGAACAGTAAAGAGGGTAAACACGTATCCCATAGACGATGTGGTTTATCACGCAGTTGAGCTCGCAGACCTTTTTTTAGCTCCTGGTTCCGTCTCTCCACTGGGTTTGCTCGTGGGTGGTAGACCGGAGTGGTCCACCCTTCTGTTCCCCAGTGGTTCAGCGCCTGTTTCATTGCCTTTGACACAAATTGGGGGCCGTTGTCTGATAGTAGTACGCGGGGGAACCCAAAACGTGGAAATACCTCGCGCTCCAACGCGTCTATAATCACCCGAGTTGTTGCGGTTCCAATGGGGAAAGCCTCTACCCATCGGCTAAAGCAATCCGTTACGACGAGTATAAACGTTTTACCCCGAGCTGATCGGGGGTAAGGCCCCATAAGGTCAATGCTCAGGACTTCCCAAGGCTGCCGCGGTACTCGTGTTGATATCGCATCTTCCGGTTTCCTGTTGAGTGGTTTTGTACAAGCACATACTCGACATTCCCGGACGTATTGCAATACCATCTCCCGCATCCCTTTCCAGTAGAAGCGGTTTTGTATGGCCCTCCAGGTTTCTTTCCAACCCGGGTGCGAGGCAGTCTCATGATCGTGATATCTCCATAGTATCCGTTCCTGTTTATTGGCGGGTATTACTATGGCTATGATATCATCGCCCTCATCTCGTGGAGTTATCCGGTACACCAAGTCCTTTTCGAGTCGAAATGGTTGTTCTCTGGTGTCTTGCTTGGTCATCTGTATCAGATTTTGAATGTCTGGGTCATTCCGTTGCCATTCGGTGATCTCCTGCAGTGTAAGGTGATCGGTAAAGTCGTGTCCGGATATCTTGAACAGCTCGTCCTTATGTGTTGCTGGTTTGTCCCCAAGCGGTGGTTCAATGAGGTTGTTTTCAAGTTGTTCCTCGTCCACCGTTGGTCCATCTGCCGGATTTCTTGATAGTGCGTCTGCAGCTTCATTTTGGGTTCCGGGCACATGTTTAATATCGAAAGTGTAAGTTCCAAGGGTAAGTGCCCATCGGGTTAGCTTACTATTATTATCCCGTGCCGTCTGTAACCACTTTAATGCCGCACTATCTGTAAGCAATTCGAATTTCCTGGCTTCCAGATAAGGACGGAACTTATCAACCGCAAAAATGATAGCTAAGCACTCCCTCTCCACTGCTGAGTAACGGGTTTGTGCTGAGTTCAATTTCTTACTCACGTGACTGATGACCCTTTTCTCATGTGGCTGTGTCCCGCGTTGATACAGTATGGCACCAACGCCCACCTCACTTGCATCCGTTTGTACGCAAAACGGTTTTGAATAGTCCGGAGGGCTGAGTTTTGGTGCTGATACTAATGCTAACTTTACCCGCTCGAATGAGTCCTGTTCCAAATT